TTAAGTGTATTTTGTTTAGTATGCCCAGGACCTATAATTTCAGAAGTCTTCTCTACATGGTTTTTCAAGTTAAAGAGGAAAAAACGGTAATTTTTGCTTTTTATCATAAGCAAGCTAGTGCTAGGGAAGGCCATCAGTTTTTCTGCCTTGGAGTGAACAGTGGTAGTTGGTAAGCAGAGCAGGCTTTTCTGTATTAATTCAGCCATTGCAATCATGTGAATGCATTGGAGGAGAAACTGCAATTAAATTTGCTATCAGTCACACCCATCAAGTGTGCTTAATGTTTCATCAAACTTTTTTTTCCTGTCAGCCCTATAATTCAGTGTTCTTCTTTGTTTGAAGGTGTGGCTGAAAGAAATGTAAAAGACTGTAAACTGCAAGATAGAAATGCTTGTTTGTATTTAAAAATATTTTTAAACTATAAAGTTATGTTGGAAGTTTCCCCCTCTTCCCCCCTTGCCAAATTACTTTTTCAGGCAGTATCTAAAGGCAGAAAGACCTTTTTATTTAAAATATCTTTTTTTTTTTTTTCAAGTGTCGGATAAGATTTATGTGCAAGAGCATTGAGAGCTATATTAAAGACTGTGTTACTATCCATCATTTTTAAAGTAGTGTGAAGAAAAATAGCACTATGTGTATGTGTGGCTAGATTTGCAAAATTGTTAGAGGAGCCAGATTCAAGTGTTGTGCATAATGCCAGGGATGACTATTTGGAGTTACTTCCCCCCCCCCGCCCCCGCCACCCCATCTGTGTGGGTTATCGGTCAGAAGTGAGCAAAGATCTTTTGCTGTCTGACAGGTGTTCACTAGCTTATGTTAACAAACACAGGTATTTTCATCAGTAGTTTCAGATGCTCCTCTGTAGCTAAAAGTGAGATTCTCTTCCACCTTCTATCCCCAAAATGTTCTTGCAAATTTTAACAAAGTCTAAGTGGAAAAGGGTGAGGTCTGTTATCCCATCCCATTGAATCTTTCATTCTCTGATCTGTTCTGATCTGTGGTGCTTTTTACCCTATGTGATGAAGGTAGGCACTTCCCACTTGGCACTCTCACACCTATCTTTTTCTCCTTTCTTCCTAGCTTCTGGTGGGATCGTTGGCTATGGTCGTGCTTTTGGTCAGAGGAAAAAGGAATATGGGGACAGTTTCTCATGTCTAGTACTGCAGTGGGGGTTTGGACTGCCCTCAAATTATACTTCACCAAGAGGGTGGTCAGTCACTGGAACAGGCTCCCCAGGGAAGTGTTCACAGCACCAAGCCTGTCCGAGTGCAAGGAGCACCAGGACGACACTCTTAGTCATACGGTTTAGTTTTAGGTAGTCCTGTGAGAGCAAGGAGTTGGACTTGCTGATCCTTAAAGGTCCCTTCCAACTTGGGATATTCTATGATTCTATGGTACATGCAATGATCACAAGCTATGATCCATCTGTGGCAGATGGATGTAAAACAAATAGCTTGGCATGCTGCAGAGGCTCAAGAATACCTGCTGGAAACTGAATGTTGGCAGAGACAGGCAGAGCTCTAGAAAGATTACCTGATACAGGGCAGTTAATCAGAGCCTTGAACGAAGCACTATCTGTTACTTAATATTACAAACAGTTGCCTTGAGAGAGGGTAGAAGAAACAGTTTCCACTGCTGCAGGTTGTTGTGGAGGCAAGACAAGATGAGAGAGCGGAAAGGTATAGACCTCTGTGTCTTTCCCTGCCATTACCCACGGCTCAGAAATCTCTCTTCGTCAGTGCTTTGGAGTTAGTTTTGAATAGTGTGGGTGAAAGAAGTACAGTGACTGACAGTTACAGGCATGTTTTTAAGGCTTCACCTAGAATCAAAAGAAACTGTTGAAGAAATTGAGTCTAGAGAAGCTGAATTTGGCTAATTTTCAGAGAGTTGTTCTCTGTTGCACAGGTAAATGATAGGAGCTTTTTTGTCTGCTGAAGTAACTTGTCTTGAATTTCTAAGTGAATTTTGTGTTTGTTCTATGAATATTGAAAAGAAGTTGCCAGGTGGAAAAATGAATAGCCTTTCTCCTTGTATAGATTTCTCCCCTTTCCTCAAAAAATACATGCTTACAGATTCACGAAGCCAGACCTCCATTGTTGGTTTTATCATCTTTCAACCACATGGTGTGTTTTCTTTTATATGCCAAAGAAATGGTACCAAGTCCAGGTGTCATTCAGTGTATCCTCATGGCTGGCTCTCTTTAAGTCCAGTAGAGCACTTTTGAAAATCAAATATTTCTCCTTCTACCCACATTTAGCCTAGAGCTTTAATGAGATCTTGCCAAAACCTTTAAAACTTGCAAAAATCTAAATTGTATGTGGCATGGAACCTCTAAGCCAGGAAAATGAATAATTGCTGGAGACTACTTCTGTGACATACCTTGGTTGTTGTAGTTTAACAGAAGTATAATAGAAGCTTTGCATTAAGGACCAAGTCTATACTTAGCTCATTGTAATGCTCTTAGCATGCTTAAATGAGGCTGTTTTATTTGGTTTCTAAAATTCTTCCTTTAAAGTTTCTTTCAAAATCCCCGTCTCGACTATATGGGGTTTTGTCACATTAAGTCATTTATATGACTGACAAATAAAATTCAGCATAGAATTGCAATCCCAGAGAAATGGTTTTAAGGGAAATAAATCTGAGCAGGAAGATTTAGTATAGGCATGGTAATGCCTTTCCTGCAGTTACTGGGAGCTGGGTTTTGACTACAGCCTGCTAGAATCCTGGTGTTGTGGCAGTAAACACTGATTAGTGAGACTGAGTTCTTCCCAGGTGTTGAAATTAGATGTGCTGTTGTGGTGTTAGGAGTTGTTCAAATTCATCATAAAAAGGGACTTTATAAATAGAAGCGTTTCAGAGAGGTTTGTGCAAATCATGTTCCTTTTAACTAAGTCAGTCCGGTGGTTGGATGGCCTTCACTGAAAGTCAGCTTTCTTTACAACAAAACCTACATCTGAGCAGTAGCCATAGATACTTCAGTGTAAATACAGTTTTCTGCAAACATGGGTTCTTTGTTTTCTTTCTTTTAAACAGCCATTGAGAACTACCTCTCAAAACCATTGACTGAATGTGTTCTGAAGCTCCTTGATTCATTCAGTGTATGAGTGACTATTACACATTTGTTTAACTTGTAGAAAAAAAAAAATCATTCTCACCAAAGCGCACTTGAGGAACCTCTTGCATTATTTGAGTGGTTTTTGTATTGAAAATAAAATTAGAGGCAGCTTAATTTTGGCCCTGTAGTTGGCTATGTATGTTTTTTGCTATTACACTCTTTTCCCAAATTATTTATTTGCAGTCTTCAGGTTTATCGGTAGTTTAAAAAATGCTTTAGTCTCTTCCAAAACTGTGGGAAACTTGCTTTAGTTTCTTCTTAACCTTTGATCTCAGAGCACCAGAAGTACAGAAGCTGCAGCAGTGAATTAGGCTTGTTTGTCAAGTAGGATATATCATTTTCTCGAGTTACTTTTCCTGTTTAGGAGTTGGAGCTATTGCTATTTTAGACCAATTGGAATTTGGTGCTGGCTTCTTCATACAGTAGTGTGAAGAAGTTCCAGTTGACTATAGTTTAATAGTTTAAGCCTGCAGATGGTCAGATGCATGCGTAGCTATATTCATGTTCATATATTTGTGTTAATAGCTCTCTTAAATATATAACAGGACACGTGGAAATAGCAGATGTTAGTAAAGAAGGGGAAAGATTGCAGGAATGGCTATCAGGCACAGTGTTGGTTTGATAGTGTATGAGTTTTGAAGATAAAACTCAAAAAAACATCCTGTGAGACTGTTGAGTGGTAGTGAGAATGACTACCAAATGTGACATCAAAATAGAGAAATGGGGGTGTTGAAAGAGAAGCAGAGCAAGTAAGGAATCTAAACCCAAAGTACCAAGAGAGAACTCAGAACACTCAGTTGATGCATTGACCTCGAACCCAGGGAGCACATATAAAGGTAGCTCAGAAACATTGACTCATGGGGCTTTACCAAGTCATGCTTAGAAAATCTGAAAATTCTTTTTAAATTTCTTTTTATACTCTTCAGATTTATGGCAAGGGATGACACAGCTAGCAGTCCATAGACAAATGTCATGAAAGGCTGCACGTTAGCCACTATGATTGTGACTCACTTAGAAGAGATGTCATTGAGAGGCTTTTCCTGTGCTGGGTCAATGTTTGTCTCTTAGCAAGATCTTTTTAGGGTAAAAATATAAATTTAGCTGTAGTATTTCTCGGGTTTACATATCATAGGTAGGAAAGAAGGAGATTATGTTATTTTTTGGTTAGTGATCAAGCTGATGGAATTTAATTGTAAAATTATAGACCAGACTGCTTGCCCTGCTGACTTGGTAGATTAGTATGAATGATAACCTTTGACCTGGATTATTTGGGGGTGGGATGGGGGTGTTTGCTTTTAATCGCTAGCTTTCACTTTTGTTTTTCTAGAAGTCTACATACTAGCTAACATCACAAGTCACGTTTGAAGTTTTGTGCTGCTAGATATCAATGGTACAGCTCTGTATAGGGGCAGGGACTCTGGCTGGCATCTTCTTTACTGACTAGGGATCTGCTCTAAACACCATCAGTGAATATAATTGTATCGTAATTATTTCTCAGCTGTGCCTTTTGTCTAATTGTATGCAAGTTTAACACTGTTATTTTGTCAACTTTGTATAAATGTTGTCAAAGTACTCTGCATTTTGCTTTTCCCACCAGCCAAGGTACCAGAACTAGCGTAGATGTTTTCACTCTGTCCTGTTTGGGGTTTGTGTGCTGTTCTGAGTGTGTGTATGCACACATGCTGTATGTATTTTCTACTATTAAAGATAAAGGAACCCTGGTGACTTTTTTTATTCTCTCTCTAATGAAGCATGAAGTCTGGGTACCAACAACAATAAAAGTAAAGATTTTTGGCAGATAAGGAGTAAGTTTAGAGTTTCTTTTCAATCATCACTTACACTTCTCTCCATAGGCACTAACTTCTGACTGATACTCGTTTTCTAGGCAAACCTTGCTCAGCTACTGAGTGAGGCTCAAGATCGAAATAAACATCTTGGAGAAGAGATTAGAGAGCTTCAGCAGAGACTGGGAGAAGTACAAGGGGACAATAAGGTATTATATGTTTTGTTATCAGTAAATGTGGTGGAATGAGTAAATTGGGCTGGACTGTTGTATTTACTGCTTAGGGAAACAAATAAAACAATGGGTTACAGAACTTCTAGAATACTTTGATTACAGTAAATGCTCAAAACCGTAGAACAAAAAAAACTTGTACAGGATACCAGTAAGTGCAGCTTATTCTGTATTTTTGTATGCTGCTTTTGCTCGCTTGTCCTTAACTATGTATTTTGCACCTTGCCTTGCTTTAATAATCTCAGATTTACTTTCTTTTTTTTTTTAATATATTTTAGTGGTGTTTCCTCATACAAATAAGTACAGATACTCATGGCAGCTTCATCATGTGATAATTTTCAATTTTTTTTTTTTAAATGAAAATGCAAAATTTTAGTAGATGATAAAACCAGCAGGGACAGTATAATTTTTCCCTTCGAAAGTATGGAGCAGTTAATCACAAATATATACAGTGAGCTTTGTATTACTCCTTCATCCTATTACCCTTACATAACTAATTTATTTTATTGCTAAATTTAGCAAGTTATTTGGAACATTGCTCAAAATCTGCCATTTGGTATTAATCAAACTCCTGTTGTCTCTGTTAATTGAAATATTTAAACTCAAGCCAAATGTGTGTAGCATTCACAGCTGGAGCTGTATGCAGAAGTACATTCAGAGATCAAACTAGTGAGAGGTTGAATTTGAGAGTCGAGGTGGTTAACGAAGTAAAAAATGAAACAATGATAACTTCCCTCCCTCAACTACAGTTTTAAAGTTATGGGGTTTTAAAATGTGAATACAATTTATGCAGCTTTTAATTATTCAGGTAGGTTTTCTCTTTCCATTTAAGTTAATTTTATTTTATTTATTTTATTTTAAATGTAAGTATATTGTGATAATGCAGTTTTATTCATTGTCTGTCACAAGGGACTCGCTTGAAGGTGTGCAGGGAGCTGGCAGAGGGTCAAGTGAGACCTGAATTTGTGTTACTAATAGCATTCAGTGTAACTTGATCAAGCCTTCAAAGACCAGCTTTCCCAGTGTTTTCATTTGCATGTTATTGTTTGAACTATATTACAGTGTAGAAGACAGTGCCTTGCAGTTCTTCAGTACCAATATTATGCCATACAGCCTTTCCCAAGCCAGTCATGAACAGATAACAAGGGTTTGTAGGTAGAAACAGAACACAAAGGTAGTAAAACTACAACATACTTAAATATCAAGGTTATGTACCTGTTCTAATTCCTTATAACAATATGATCTTGGTAACACAGAGCCTACTTCTTTGTGCTTGAACTGGCTTTATTTAGATTTGCCTTTGCAAGTTAACTTGATATTAGCTGGTCATCTTTGTGGCATCTGTATTCTCAGCATGAATTTAAATTCATGATCGTCATAATGAATGGAAAAATACAAAAAGAGTTATTCTGCCCACCATGCTCCTCTCCAAAAGGTGCAAAATAGTGCATCACTAAAGAGGGGGAGGAAAGAACTGCATCAGACAGGGATTAATTTAGACTAGGATTTTCATTTTTGGAACACATTCTTTACTTTCTTAGTAAATGAGAAATAGAGCTTATTTTAGAGTCAGGTTGCTGCTTTTTGAAGTGCCTAAAAAAGCATTGCCATCTCTCTGAGGGATTTAACACTCTACTCCTGTGTCAGATTTTGCTCCCTTCTAGCTTCAATGATAAAATTCTAGGCTTGTTCCCGAAGCCATTCTGTTCTGCTCATCAGTTCTCCTGTGCTGGCAGCTGGGTTACTTCAGGCACTGGAGTCCAGATAATACATGGTATATACAAAAACAAAGAACTATAACAATTTGCTGCTTGTTCTTACGTTTTTCCCCTACATTCTTCTCTCTGCTTTTTTCCAAAGTGAGGGAGGGCATCCTGCCCAGATGGTCTACGTCAACCTTACTTCTGGCAAGAGATGAACAAACAGCTGCTTTTGCAGCAAGTGAAGCTGCTTATGGATGAACAATTCTGCCTCTGTCTGATCAGGGGTGACTCATGCAGGCTTTGTGACTGAGTGGCAAGAGCTTTGTAGGACTAAAAAAGAAAAAACCTCTTTAAATGTCACACATTAGCTCTATTGATAAAGAATTGTTTTGATAGCTTGACTTGTTTTTCACCACTTTAGTGTTTGCTGCTGGTAGGATACAGTCACTTGGATTAGCAAGAAGACCTTAAATTGGTGACATTTTACTTGTTGAAGTCATGTTAAGTACATCATCACTTAGGCAATAACAAATTACTTGCATTTGGTTTAACTGGACTATTTTTTTCCTTTAATTTCAGCTAGAATTCTGTTCGCACAAATAATAAAACTTCTTCAGGCAGTCTGTGGAAGGATTTGTTGCTGCAGTTTGAGAAATACAGCAATAGGTACACTGCAGCGCTCCAGCAGCAGATACCTAAGACTGTTTATTTTTATGATTGATCACAACCTCTTATCAGCTCTGACACATGAAAACTATTCTATGTTTATGATAGTTATTTGTAAATCTTTTTCCTTCTTAATGTTCTGGCAGCAATGCTTGGAGAACAAGTACTGAAACTTAGAAGAGGATAGTTAGGAAATCTAACTGTCTCCTGTACAAGGGTGAAAATAGACAGCATAAGAGAAACTGGAGGCTTCTGGAAGACTAGATGACTCAGTTGCCTTCACTTGAATTCCTACCCACACAAATAAATGGTTTTGTAAGCTGTCGAGGGCAGTGCTAAGCAAGAGGAAGAAGCATGGAAAACAATGGCTGCAGTATTACTGACAGCTTGTTATTACAAGGCAGACAATCGTTCATGCAGCAGCAGCACAAAATGATAAATGCGGTGCATATGTTTTGGCAGAACTGGGACTTAAGGTAGCAAATTTGCATAGTTCTGGTCCACTTTTTAAGATCTTGTAGGCAATGTGGTGAAGACAATTGCTGTCAGTGACTGTGGCTAAACATGATGGCTTCTGCCTTCCATGAAGGATTTACTGGTTGTGCTTGTTCCCCTTTTCCTTCTGCATGTTTTATCAATAATCAGGAAGGTACAACTTAGGTGCAGGCATTCTCTGTGGACTCCTAGCCTGCACAGCCGCTATCGCAGTGAAGCCTGTTTGAAGCAATGTGGGGCTGATACAGAGTTGCTACTTTATAAATAATTATTTTAGCTGACACTGATTAAGAGAAAGCTGTGATATTACAATAATAAAGACTAGTGGCTTGCAGCACTGGATTGTTTTGTTTAACAATCTATGGTTTCTTGACAAACAGGAGCTATCTCTGGTAAGGTGCCATTAATTTAAATCCATCTGCTGTGGATGCTGTTCACAGAATCTGGAGGGGTAGCATTAACCTATTCTGTAGCTGCAAAATGAAGTTGAGCCGTCCTTTCCTCAGTGATTTCTGAATGACAGATATAAAAATATAGCAGCCAGAGGGCAGGTGTGTAAAGTTTATAACAAGCACTAATAAACCCGTAACCCTCTGGCATAACACTTAATATCTCTTTGGCCACAGCATTTTCAGGGAAGAATTTTATAGCAGGTGGTGTTGCCTCATGAGACATTCGCAATGCAGAATTAAAGGACTTGGCCTGTTCTGCCCTGTCAACTCTCTGATTGGCCAACTGTCTGGAAGAAGCACTCTGTTGTTTTATGGATTGGTATTTTACTTTATTTTGTGTATGTTTATAATGCTGCTTTTACTGGCTGAAATTGGATTGCTGAAGCATTCTTTTTGTAGGACTTAATACATTTTTTTTTTTGCCTCAAAATTAGAAGTAAATAAAGAGTTCTCCTTTTATTGGCAGACTGTTTGACCTTGCGAGTAATAATTGCTTGCAGTTATAATTGCATCTTATGCTGCACCCCCTCCCAGGCTTGAGGAGACTTGGTCATAGTGCATGAGTCACAGCTCTTATCCAGTTCCCAGCCTGTGCCGAGCGTTACGCAGAAGTTTTGCTGTGCTGCAGGCATTGGAGGCATTGGTAAAGTGTGATTCCCTTCCCGTTTCCAGTTTTTCTGAACAAGATTGAGTCCTCAGACTTTTATTACGTTTGTTTCTTACTGCCTTTCTCACTAGTGAGAGATTCTAGAAATTAAATTAATCTAACTGAATTAAATCATCTTACCCCACCTTTTGTTCGTCAGCCTTTTAATATTTAAAAAAACCAGTCCCATAGCTATGAGGCCATTCTAGGATTTGCTAGTTGCCTTTTTGACTTATTAATTTCTGTATCAAAACAAATAGGAATTATACCTCCTAGGATCCGTTCAGCCTTACTGTCTGTGTGATGGTTTGTACTTTCCCTGTGGGGATAGGGAAATGTAGTTTGCCAAAACCAGTTACTTTTTGGGGCACAGCTTCCCCTGAACAAGTGAACTGCTTATCAGAACAAGTTGTACTAGTTTCAGTGACTTGCACTGAATTGGAGCTGAAATAAGTGGGGAGGATGATTTTGGTAGTCTGTCTTGCATCAGCAGGATTTTAATTGGCACATTGCAGCTATGGTGACTGGCATCCCATAAATACCAAAGACAGATTTTAATGTACAGTCTTCTACTTGAGAAGATTGATTTTTTTTTTTTCTAACTCTGCAATATAATGATGTACATTAATTCCTTGTTGCAGTCAAAGATACGGGGAAAGTCAGACTGGTTATCGTGGTGGGTTTCTCTAATCTCTGTGGAGCTCCTACAAATGAGGCGATGGGGAGGCAACACTTTTGCCTGGTTGTACTCAGTGTAAACAACCCTAAAAGCTGAATGCCTTGTAGGCTGTTATTTTAATACTCCATGATTCTAGAAAGGTAGTTGCTATTTGCTTTGGATGTTGAATGTAACTGTGAATTAATTCAAGTCAGACTGTTTTCAGCAGTCACAAAGCTCATGAGTTCATTAGCTGTTTGAGCTTTTTGGCCAAGTCTTTTTGTTGTTGGCCCATTTTTTTTCATTTTTATCATGAATTAACTTTTGTGAGTAGCTGAAAAAAATAGTGCACAAGCAAATGTATTAGCATCTGTTAATGCAAATTCTGCACTGATGTAGTGCAGTGGGACTTTAAGTGGTATCAGTAAAATGAAGCTGGGCAAGCCACTTTGTGCCTTTTTATTCTTAACTAGGAGGACTTACCTGCTGCAGAGAATTTTAAAATTTACATATGAAAATGGCTTTCTGAGAATTCTCTAGTTTTACCGTGACCAGAATTAGTTGCTGTCACTCCTAAAAAACATTGAACAAATGTCTGTGTTTACTTGGTCTGTCATCATTTGTATACTCTGGTGACTATTGTTGCAGAGTCTAATTTAGCTCCTGTTGATGCTTTGAGTGTTCAACTGGAATTTTTTTGCTGAGAACAGGATTGAGCCCTCAGCTCAGAAAATTCCCTCTGGTTTAAATAATAGCAGCTGTTTGGCCTGGAAGAGATGATATCTATGACAGCGTTACCCTTTCTGATGTAGATGTACTCTGATACTACAGCCTGCCTTCTCTTTCTTACTGAATCTGGTTTTGTAATCGCAGCTCCTTCGAATGACAATAGCAAAGCAGAGACTTGGAGACGATGAAGTTGGGGCTCGACACTTTGCAGCACATGAGCGGGAGGACCTTGTTCAACAATTGGAGAAGGCTCGAGAACAAGTAAATAACTAAATGGGCATATACTGTCATGTTTTACAGAGCTAGTGCAGTAGCAAGTAAATGACTGCTTCTGTGGTGTTTGGAGGGCTGGTAGCCAATTAACATTGCAAACAGTGGTGCAGGTTTGGGGATTTTTACTGAAAGAGTTCTTACTGAGCACTAACTTAAACATGCATATGTGGTTAGAGTGAGTTTCCTAATCTCAGGAATTCCTTCTCTAGATTTTTTTTATTCTCTTTTTATAATGTGCAGCAATAACTTGTGACAATTGAATATTGTCAATTAATGCCAATGAAAGAGACTTAGTGAAAGCTGTTATAAATATTCAACACAGTATGTGGTGGTTGATGCATCTCCTGAAGATACTCTCTGAATTAAATTTTCTGTAGAAGTGTTGTTAGTCTCCTCTTCCTCCTGCCTATTTCTTCCCCTCTTTTGAAAAATTCTAGCATCGGATCCCTTTTCCCTACCTCAAGTCTGTATTAATACTATGTACCATGCAGCATTCAATTCATCAGACTTTTTCCCTAATAATGATACATAGCTTTCTGGACGATTTTGGAGGCTTGTGTTCTCTGTTGTTCCCACACTCATTCCTCCCAATGTCAGTTCCACCTTGAATGAGCCATTCTGTGATCCAGGAGGAGGTGCGTACTTCTTAGTTTTCAGTCTTCACTCAAGTGCAGTGCTACTTTAACTTACCAGAAAGACTGTTGACTGCACTTGGTCTTCTTCCGATGTGATCCTCTGCTATTTCTGTTCCCAAGCTTGTGTTCTCTCTGTTCATTACCTAACCTCTTTTCACATGGTCTTCTATTGTCCTTCCTGGATTATCAGTGTTTTCTGAGGTGCCAGTTCAGACTTCTGGACTCATGGCAGACTTTTCTCACACTCTCCATTTCCTCTCCTTGGAAGTTTGAAGCAATTTTGTCCTTGAGTATCTTTCATACTGGACTCTTTCAGCCTTTTGCTTAATAGCAGAACTCACCCTGTCAACTCCATGCTGGCTTATTTTGTACTTTTCTCAGTTCTTCTTCCTATTCTGTGAGCTTTATTGCTGAAAGTCCTGTAATTAGTATAAGTTTCCCCCTTACAAAGGACTTCTTCATCCTCCAAATTTGCCACATTCTTATTCAGTTGAGTTCATTCCTGAAGTCCTAGAAATTATATGCTAAAACCATCTTAATATGTTTGTAATAGAATTATAGTATGGATTAAGGTTTCTTTTGCTATTATATTTTAGTTGTTTTCTAGAATTTTTGAAAAACAAGTCTAACTGCTAAATTTTCTTAACTTCAAATTAATGAAGTAATACCAAAATAGAATAAAAGTACTGGGGGTTATGAGCTTTGGAAAGACTTTTGACTGACCAAAATCAATCCTGTTCAGACATGCAGTGCTTGCTGCTGTTTTCAGTTTGGGCGCTATTTAATCTTTTGTTTAAACTTCAAAATAGTCATACAGCTCTCCTTTCTTCTCAGATTGAGACTCTCAGATACGATCTTCAGGCTGCACTGGATGAGTTACAGGATGTGAAAGAGGAACGCTCTTTTTACCAAGATAAGTCTGACAGACTAAACCAAGAACTTAATCATGTCTTAGGAGGGCATGAAAACCGTATCATCGATGTAGATGCTCTGTGTATGGAGAACAGGTGAGTGCATTGCAGACCTTACTGTTTCCGTAGAACAAGCAGTGCATTACTTGAGCAGGAGCATCAGGAAGTCGGTCACAACAAAACTTTAAAGAAAATGTATCCATGAATAGAAGTTAAGAGATTTTGGTAATTTGTTTTTTCTGTTTTGTTTGTACTGTAGCTAACCGTGAAATAACGTTGAGAATGTTAGGCTGCAGGAAATTACCAGTTTTATTTGGCTACAGAGATGTCAGTGGTGTTCCCAAATAGAGCTAAACAAGGAGAAGGAAGAGAATGCAGACCTTTTTATTCCCATCACTGTATGGCACCAAAAGCAAGAATATTAAAAATCGGTGTCTTCAGAATCTCATAGTGAGCTGTAATGGGCTAATCTTGGGTTGGAAACAGGGACTTTGAGTACCCTGAGTTAACAGTTTTGGACATAATTCTCACCACAGGGAGAGGTTGTCAACATGGAGTGATTTGCCAAGAAAAGTTGCTGGTGAAATCACCCATGTGGATATTCTTGCCACTTCCTTGGGAAAAAAATGTGTTTTATGGTCTCTGCTAAAGACGACAGAGAGGAGTCACTGAACAGAGCCATAGCAGGTACCTCCCTTAATGTCAACAATTACCTTAAAGTGAAATAGATCTTGTGATTCCATTTACAGAGACTTATGCTTCAGGTAGGAAAGTGTAATACCAAAAGCATTACTTCCTCCCAGCAACTCCAGGTGTTTTTTTTCTGTTTTGTGTGGCCTACGGAGTTCTATATCAATTTAAGCCCCCTGCTCCCCTAACAGTGATATGATTTTTTTTTTCTCTAAAATAAACTGTCACAAACCCTAATACAGCAGCAGTTGCACTACATCAAAGAGGATATTTTATAAACCCTTTATACATGAAAAAGATATTTTCCTATGTGGAAATCGCTGTCCAATGCAAGTGCATAAACTCTATTATGAAGAACTGTACCGTTTCAGTTAACTGTACACCATTTTTCAACTATACTGTTAAATTTTCTACTTTGTGATTGCTCTGTAATGAGAAGTGCCATGTTAGTGATGGATATTGCAATGCAAAAGTTCTGGATAGTTGAGTCTTGTGTTGACATACATACAAACCTTCAAGTACAGAGGACACGAGTAAATGCTTCCTGACTATTTCCTCTAGACATAAATATATCCTTTTAGCTTCCCTCCCCAAAAACCTGGGGACCGTTATAAAATGGTTGTGCAGCAAGCTTGACAAATCTAACAGAAGGGCAGCCTCCTTTTCTGATGCAATTTTTTTCCCTACTTAAAGTTTTATGGGGTCAAGAACAGTAAGATTTTGTTATTTTATCACAGAACTGCAGAGGGAAAAAAACTCTCAGTAGTTCAAAGAGAGGACGTGCCAAATAGCGCAGAGGAGCGCTTGAGGCAGTACTTGAAGGTAACGTGAAGTAAAGGATTACATTTCTTTTTCAGGTATCTTCAAGAGAGATTAAAACAACTTCAAGAGGAAGTCAACCTTCTTAAGTCTAATATTACTAAATATAAGGTAAGATCCTCTCAGTGTATCTTCTCAGTGCGCTTCGTAGTTCGTGGAGGTTATTGTTCATTCTCATGTTCGTGTGCATTTAAGGAACAAAATTGTGTCTTCAAAGAAAAATCCACCATTATCATTCTGACAGTATTAGTATGCATACGTATTACATACTCAGTCTTCCTTAGCTGATGTAGTACAAAGGGATACCCATTACGAGTATTTTGAAAAATTAATTGAACACCTTTTTTTTTGAAGTTCTGTGGGTGAACCCTCCTCCTGCTGGGGTGTGTGTTCAGCCTTCCAGCCTGCTGGTAGGTGAAAAGTAGCAGGTCCCGCAGTGTGTGGTGAATGACTGCGACTGTGTTGCTGTCACAAGCAGGTCTCCTCTCCCTGTTCTTTAATGGCCGCACTGTTTCTTCATGTGTCTTAACAATTGCTGTCTTCATTGTTCTTCCATTCCTGCATTAAGATACGTGCTGTTTTGCATGAAGCCTTCCGGATTGAATCCTGGGGGCAAAATAATCTTGCCCTTCCCTGAAGTCAAGCACTCTATTTTCTTCTGCGAGTGATTTTGGGGTGTGGGAGAGGAGGGCTGGGCAGCTTGTCAGGGCATGGGAAGAGTTGTCTTAGGACTGTCAATAGGACATCTTAACCATTTGGGTCACTGTGAAGGAGTCACAGCACTAAGTGCTTTTTGTGCATGAGCAAAGCTCCTCAAAATACCAAGTTCATTTTAGTGTCTATTCACACTTACGACTTGGGTCTCTCGAAGCGTGGGTCAATTATTAGTGAGAAGTGAGCATCTTGGTGGCCTGGTGGGTTTCACAGAACTGTGAAAGAAGAACTGGACTTCTGTAGCAGGATCATTCTGCTGCTAATTCTTGAAAGTCAGTTTTTGCTACTAAAAGGGCTTCTAGAAACTCTGATAGAGGAGTGTGAGCTTTCCCTTTGAAGCCTATCCAAAGAAATGCTGGGAAAAGTCTGATTTTGTTCCCAACTGATACTCTCTACGGGATACTGCAGTATCTTCACTGGCACTCAGCAGATTATTAAAAAACAGGCAAGTCTCAAAAATGCCGTGGGGGTAGTGGGTGGGAGAGACTACAATAAAGTCATTGCAATGAGACAGAATGAGCCTTTGTAACATTGCAAAGACTGTTTTGACTAGAGAATAATACTCCAGGAGAGTCACACTCCCATAGGTTACTGTGGGTGAAAGCTCCAGGCCCTGCAGAGTTGTTCTGAGATCAAAATCCAAAGCTCCGGACTCTTTACTCCTAATGAATGGATTTGTTGGTTGCTGTTTTTCTAAATAAGATATTTGTTGTTTCCTTAGAATGCACTAGAGAGACGAAAAAATTCAAAGTCTCATAGTAGATCCAGTAGCAGTGCTCTGACTGGAGTCCTGTCTGCAAAGCAAGGTACCACATAAATGCAGCATGGTGTTGCACATCTCATTGAGTTACTTCTATCTTACCTCTTAGTTTCAGTAACCCTTTCATCACCAACCAAACTAAAATCTTTCTTCTCTTGCCTGTTTATTATGATGTGCTAATTTGTGTCATTTTCTCAGTTGACAATATAAAATTTGCCTCTTCAGTACTGCTTCTGCTTTTGTTACTTTTTTGCCATTCATTCTCTCCCCTATCAGTTTTATAAGATTTTTTTTTTTTTTTTATCTCTAAACACCTCTGCAACTTTGACCCTGACAAATCACTTCTTTATTCATTTCATTGCTCTGCTAACAATGGCAATCACAATTCATATTTCAATGAAAAATAGGCTGGGTAGTAGAGAAGGGACCCTAAGTCAGGCTTTCTGCTACTGTGCTTGGAAGCTTTTACATTCAGATGTTTTGCAAGTAATCCTTTTTCCCATGTTTCTTCATGGGTAGCAAAAAAAATACCAAGATTAGGAAAGAAAAGGGAAGAGAAAATTCTTTGAGGCAAGCAGTATACCTGGCACCCTACTGTTTAGGTGGTAGTGTAGTCATACACATGTGAGAGATCAATAGTATTTGTCATGGTAAGTTGAAACTTGCTTTTCTGTTTTTGACTTATCCTCCGTCCTCTTCTCTGTGTACTTGCGTATATATATATATTTATGTGTGTATATATATATATATATTTAAAAAAAAAAAAAGAGGCAGAGCCAGATTGTAGTTAGATAAGTTAATGATAGTAGTGAACTTCCTGATGTGATTGAGAGGTCCAGGCTCTAAGCTGCAGAGGAAGAGTTCACGGGTGACTGTATTTTCACATCAGTCTCAAATAACCTGATGAATGTAATAATTCTAAAAAGTAACATAAATGCTTCTTTGTGGGCTTGTGTTTCAATGTAAATGGGAGAGAAATGAATGACTAATTTTTACCTATCTGTAGGCCTGTAGAAGAATGAGTTTGTTTCCTTCTAAGCAAAAATAATTTTCCAAAAGCAGGATTAAGTTAACATAAGATATGTCTACCTCTGCTTGTTCTGGCAATTGCTGTAGAATAACAATCAGCTTAGAAAGCCACCATCTTTATGCCAGCTAGAGATTATATTTCTGATCTTTTAGCTTTGTTTGTTAATTGAAGGAAAAAAATATGTATTCATTTAAGTAATGAGAATAGTTCTTTAATGCTAAGGAAATATTTATATCGCATCACTGTGTATAAGAAGCCAAAACTCATTTATGTTTTTAACATTATAGTCCAAGAGCTGTTGTCGGAGGATCATGGATGTAGCCTACCAGCCACACCACAGTCTATTTCAGATCTCAAATCACTGGCCACTGCATTGCTGGAAACTATCCATGAAAAAAACATGGTCATACAACACCAAAGGCAAACCAACAAGTAGGTAGCGTGACTTCTGAGTAAAATAGAACTTACCAGCTATGCAAGAGTCATAGTTTTGGGGGAGTTTCAGGGAAGTGGGAAGGAAGGTCCATTTTCACAGAAAATTCTTTGTCATTGTTAAGTGGTGGGTTTTTTAGTTTCTAAGATCCGGTATGTGTTTAGAGAAAAACTACATTTCTGAAGTGATGCCTGGGGTTGACAGAGACCTGTCTGCCTTTGCTAGGCAAGGACTGGTTTGCTGCTCGGGTTTAAGACAAACCATAACACAGGGGGAACTTGTAGCAGGTAGTTTGTAGGGAGGGCTAAAGAAAAGCTGCTAACAGGAAGGACACTTGAACTGAGGAAGATGTGTGATAATTGATAGTTAATGTAGGAATTTGCTAATGAACACTGGTGGGAATAATAAATGTTGCACCTAGGAAAGGATCTGAAAAAATTTAGTGTAATATTTGTCACAGGCTAACAGCCTGTGTGTCATACAAATGGTAGCTGTTGCTCCTATAGTTACTCTGCCAAACGTTGTAGGAGATAAACACAGTTGGATTGCTACTATGTGATTTTTCCAAAAATCTGAACTGAACTTCCAAGGAGAATTTGTTTACTCTTAGTTTTTCTACTCATCAACAGAATTCTTTGTGTCTTGCACAACTCCTGTCATGGCAGAATATAATTTTTGACACATTTTCTGACGTTCTGATATTATTGTCCATATACAGTGTATGAAAATCAGAGCTAGGAAGTGTTCCCTGATTCTGTGCTCAGGTTTTTTTCCTTTTTTTAACACTGAGTCACTACTGGTAATCAGAGGTTATTCAGGCTTCTCAAAAGCATGTCAGGACCAGATGCCAAAAACAGGCAGACATCTTTCGTGAAAGGAAGGAGTGGTACTGAAGTAAACTGTATTGCACTAGAATAGAGGATTCATTTTGAAAACTGATAACTCTCATACTAGGCAGACTCCATTGCATAATTCTTAGTGATGTGGCAGCAGAAGTGGAGATGCAGTTTATAGCCACTCTTAGTACCCTTGAGAAAGCAAATGCCTAATCAACTAAAGGGAGACTAAAGCGGTGAAAATGTAGCCCAGATCTAACTGATGGCAGCTTAGTCAATTCATGTCTGTAAGTGTGTCATGTAATGCGAAAGGAGTTCCTGCACTGAGCAGTGTTAATAAAGGGCTAGTACCTGCTTACTCCATTCTTGCTGCTAATGTAACATCAGAAGTAAAACATCAAGAGAAGATCTTTTGTTATTCCAGGTATAACCAATCTTTGCCTTTTACATCCTGATACTGTATTGTTACCTGGCGTTCTAGTTTGCACACTCTTGCCTGTAACTACAGCAAACTTTGTTCTTAATTTTATACCTGCCTTTGATCATGTGCAGTCTGTCGCATCTCTGAAATGTATCATTGCGATGATGGCTTTGCTTTCTGATACTGACGTCTCTGCTTTCAACTGTTGACTATGGGGTTTCCTTATATAAGCCTTCACAAGGAGATACAATTCTTGTATCTGCATGCCCAACTGATCATGTATAGCCATGGGAGTAGAGATCGGATATGTGCACAAACTAGTGTTCTATGGCCCTTGGAAGATCAGGTCTTGGGGGTGACAGTCCACGTCTCTCCTAGGTCAGGAGTGTGCTCAGAGCTGTAGTGTTGTATTCAGTTCAGGATGCTTCAGAGGAAAAAAAAAGATAAGTCCTGGGCAAGTTGAGTGAAGAGCCTCAACAACACTGCTATGTGTTATGCTCATTCTTTTTGTCACCTTTGGCTTTAGTTGGATTAAAGAAGCTTTTAAGGAGCTAGGAGGAGTGGGAACTACTTTAAGTAGAAATACCTAAGTGATAAAGGGAAAGGCAGGTAGGACAACAGGTTAAAATATCCTTTATTTTAGGTGCATTAGCTGGTTGTTGTGGGCACTTCTTTGCCATGTAAAAAGTGTCAAGTTAAGACTGCTGACTTCTGAAAATGGGGAAGAAACTGCCACTTGTCAGAGAAGATTACAGTTGAGAGTGAGGTCAGTGCACAAGTAAAATGGACAGGTCTACAAACTGGTACTAGTAGAAGATGCATTCTTTTGTTGAAGATATTTCTCTGTTCAAAGTAGGGAGTTGAGAAGGATGTGGAGCTAGAGAGTACTGTAATGACAAAAGGTTTTAAATAAATCAGAAGGTAGAAGTCTTCTCCTTCACCCCTCTGTCCTGTTTACCTGGCTTTCCCTGCACAAAGAGCAGGGACACAGTTGCTCTTTGAGATTTTTGTGTGAAGAAAGTGAGATTTATTGGGTAAAGAACATGAGATGTTGGGGTGGTTGTTTCATTCAGGAGAGAAGTTCCGCTTTTGATATTTGATAGATGATTGACCTATTAGTGATTCTATTATCAGCAAATGAGGCTTTTCAGACCTATGAACTTATGTTCCTCCAAACAGTTAACCTGCTCTAAAGTCAAAACCTCTTTTGTTGCTTGCAGATTGAGATATGGCTATATAAGTTTACAACAATAAAATGGTAGATTTGCTTTCTGATTAACTGAAGCAATAACAAGGCGGTGGATTTTTTTTACGTAGATTAGAATTTCGATGTGCTGTTGAAGTTGACTTTCTGCTGTTAAATTGTTGTTAAAAACATCCGTTGCCACTTGCTCTTGGAACAGACACACTATTATTATTGCTGCTTTTCTGAATATGTGGCATGATGAAAGGAGCTGTGGGTGTATGTGCCTAGGAACAAGTAGGCTAAATCCAGCCTTTGTTTTTTTTAGCCCCATTTAAAAAAAAAAAAAAGTTGTTTGGGAAGAAAACAGGTGATTTTCTCAGGTGATTAGTAGCTACTACTGCTAAGTTTAAGTAATGTCCTCTGTTTTTCCTCACATTAGCTTAATTTGAAAAGGCAGTCACAAATGAATTCTGTATGTATTAATGTGTTGCAAGATTAGTTGCATAAATGTGAAAAATCAACACTCCTAACCCTGCCTAGCAAGTCGATAAAAATCTTTTTTTCTTCTGCCAGCAACAAACCGTTTATTAGATGTTCTTTTTAGTGCAATTTGTTGCTGAAATTGCCAGCACCCATGCAAGCCAGGTGAGTGTAGAAGCTGCTATGCTGCTTAGACAAGTTGCACTAATTTTAACATTTCTAACTTGGGCAAGCTTGGTCATGACCAAAATTAAAAGAAGGATTGTGTCAGTCTGTAACTGACTAAATGTTTCCACATGATGTATAAAACTAGATATGTGACTGTGACAGACCCTATTTACATACATTTGGGTGGTTGTATCTGTATGCGGCTGTATGTTCTCTGTAGGAAGATCTAAGTTGAAAGTGAGCTCAGGTGCTGTAAATCAGCACAGCTTACTTCAGATTATGGCCAGGTATGTTGGGAAGCATGGGAGAGCCAGAAGGAAGCTTCTAAATTCAGGTGGGAGCATTGCTGAAAAGGTTTCTGAAAAACCTTACCCCGGAGGGAGGTTTAGACTAAATCCCTTGTTGCATTAGACACATGACCAGAGGACAATGGAAGTAGCTATCAGCACCTTTGTCCACGACATGATCCTTCTGTTTTAGTCGAAGAATCTGGTCCACTATAGCTAGAGACAAAAAAATAGATCAGGGAATTTGTTGCCACCAACACTTGCAGCCCCTTTAAAAATACCTACTGTTCCTGGCCACCACAGCTCAAGTCTTCCCACAGCACATACGGAGGTGGGAAATTATTTGGAGGTTGCAGGGGAAAGGAAGGAATGGGGTAAACCATGCTGTGTTCAGGATTGCTTACACATTTATTTTTCAAAAAATGTTTCTCTAAGGACTTGTAGCTTTATGTAGGGTTCATTTGTCCCATACTGTCTTCAGATAAGGTGGTTTGAAGCAAACTGGAATCATACTCATCACTGAATGTATTTTGCTCTCTTCCTGAATGAAAGGAGCAGGGTTGAGTGTTGTTGTCTCTATTTGCCAACCATTGTTCAAAGCCACAGAATGATCCTTCTATGTAAGAACCTGCAACAAAGGTTAAAAAATAGCTCTGTGCCTCTTCTGAGGATCCAGTAGGAATTATCAGGATATATTTGTGCCAAAACCTTTAGAAATACTGTGGTACATCTGATTATTAACTGAACTTGATGCAGAAGGTTGAGTTTCCCTCTGTGATACAGCTAGCCGACAGGGAGGGCAGTATCTTTCCCCCCTTTTCTGCCCTGGAACTACAGGTGAACTACTTATGAAAATAATAAGAATTTTTTATTTTTCTGGCAGAAGTGCTAAACTTGTGACCCGGTTGTGGTGACTATCATTAGCCAAATCAACATTGTTTTGTTGGCTCCCTGGGTGAGCTGAACGTGATGCAGCAGAAGTCTTGCATCATTTCTGTTCCCTGCCCCTCTAAGGCAGGGGAACTCCATGTCCTTCAGCTGACCTGGCGGGGCCTTAGGCAGGGAGATGGGAGTGGGCTCCCTGTGCGCAAGGTAGAGCTTCTTGAAAGTTGCTCTGTGCCTTTGTCTGTCACCTGTTGCTTTGTACTGCAGAGTGCAGCTGCTGGATGTCGGGCCATATGCTGGGATATGAAAATAAGAGTTATTAAGGCTGGGTCTCTCGTACCAGGCGGAAGCATTCTGAAAGCAAAATCTAGACTTGAACAATTTTGGTTGTAATTGGAGAAGACAGTAATAGATCCATCATACCCTTGGTAACCTATTTGATTACTGCGTTTCAATGGGGAAATAAACATAACTGCTCCCAAATGTCTTCTCTCCTCTGCTTCTAAACGTGACGGACTATTTGCTTTTTAGTTGATATACCTCTCAGTTCTTTCTTTGATATTTATTATAAGCTTTCTCTTTCTCTTTTACAGTCTCTCTGTCATCTTGCTATTTTTGTAATCTTTAAAATACTTACAGGCTTTTATTGTGTCATTTCAGAGCCCTCATAGTAGAAATTTCAAAAATATTCAGTCCTTGTTAATCAATTTTTTCTAGCCCATTTGATATTTGCTGGGTTTGCTGTTCTTCACGTCCTTCCCAGATTCTGCCATCTTGTCAGTAATGACATTCCCAGTATGCTCAAATGTCTGCAGCATAAAACCCTCGCTGGAGAGCACGCAGTGCAGTATTACACAGCTCTGGTGAGCATGGGAAGATGCTATTGCCTTGCTGTGTTGTGATATGCGGCTTCTCAGCATTCAGTTCAAATTTAACTGACTTACCCTGTTGCTGTAATTTGATGAGTAAAACTTGCTGTCTATTATCTCTGCTGTCATGTTTAGAATTGCTGCCTCGTCTACGTTTTTCACTCTATTGAGTATTGTTTGGGCTTTATTTAAAGACTTCTGACTCTAGGAGACTTGCTGTGCCTGTGAGAGAAACGCTTTCAAAAATTCATTGGAAAAAAGAGCTTTCTTTGCAAGATAGAAATCTCTAATTTGATCTGGGGAGAGAATTAAGACTAAAAGTTAAATCCTGCAGGAGAGCTAACTGCAAATAGTATTTGTGTAGGAATGAGATACAAAAGAAGAGATGACCCAAGAAATGCAGTGAAAACTAAGAGTGGGCGATAAAGGCGCTAAAGAGCTTCACGTTTTTTAATAAAGTGGAAAACAGAGTTCAGCACTAAAAGAAAGGTGTAGTGGAAAAGATATTCCTTGCCATTTTAAGCAATCTTAGTGATAGAGAAACCTCTGTGAATAAAGGACTAGGCCAAAATTGTGTCTTAGAACTTCAGAATCAATCTAGATGTTGTCTTGAGTTTTCCGTATTTTGTCTGCGTAGCTGACATACAGCTGGTTTTAGCTGTAGAGAAAGTAAAAGTAACCGGGAAGAGATATTTGCAGACAAGAAAACAGAAACACTGTAAGTTGCTATTCTTTGTCTGTACGAAAGGGCAAAGGTTGAATGTCCAGTACATCCTAGACCTTTTTTTATTTATTTAAAAAAAAAAAACCAACCAAAACATGGGATAGATTAGGCAACTGTATTTCATTTTCTTTTAACTCTGGGGGAGTTGTCCATTGCCATTAGTGAAAAGAGATGAGTGTATACAGGCTTACTGTACTAGTTAAGTAACAAGTTAAAAATCCAACTGCAGTCATGTAAGCAATTGGGCTCTGGTTGCCTTAGTATGACAAGGAATCACATCCCAGCTGACGACCCCTGGCTTTTGTTTTTGTTTTCTTTTCCTGAAGAATTCTAGGTAATCGAGTGGCAGAACTAGAAAAGAAATTGAGAACTTTGGAAATTGCTGGCTTGTGGAGTCTTCCAGGTTAGTGAAAATTCAAGCAAACAGCTTGCATTATTTAGTTTTAAAGGGTATATTTGCATTTAAGGAAAGCTTGGCTATAATTTTTTTTAATGACAGTTATTTGCGAATATGCTGCTCAGCACATTTGCAAAATTAGAAACCTCTAATAAATGTTGAAACCAAAAATCACTAGACTCTTTAAACTCTTAAGTCAAATATGTATACTGAAAAGAAAAAGGTTTTAAGTACTGGAAATAATCAAATTGTCTCCATAGTCTGCAGCCAAAAAAAAAAGGGAACTATTTTATTTAAGCAGTTGTATAAAATGATACATAGGATATTGGCCGTTATGTTTTTCAACAAATTTTATTTATTAATTTTGTACTCCTTGTAATTTCCGTGGATTTTATCGCTGTATTTTTAATGTTTTTCTGCAGAATCATAAACTCTGAGAAATTGGAAATGTAAATGATCTTAAATTTTCTAGTCCATCTCTCCAGAACAGGCTTATTCCCTGTAGCATCTTAAGTATTGTATTTGGTTTTGAATTACTCAAGTAATGGGAGATTAATCTGCTTCCTAATAGACCTCGTTGTTAGGAAAATGTGCGATATTTAATTTACATTTACTTTTTGCTTCTTTTCTTCCCATTACACCTAATTGTGTCTTCTTTAACCACTGTAAATTATGCTACTCCATTGTTGGTGTTTGCGTCATTAGGCTTTGTTGTTTACGGCTACCTATCAGTGCTACTGAGGGTGGGAGATAGTGTGGTTTAGGCTTCTAGGTTTTTGGCTTTGTGGGGTTTTTTCCACCTAACCTTCCCATCTAGAAGAAAGCATTTGACAAAGCTGAAGAGCCCTTGTGACAAACCTATGCTTTGGCCTGATGTGGGGTATTTCTACTTTAGCTTGCCTGTTGTAGGCATTCTCCATCACCTTTCTGCAACTGGCTCTCTTCTTGATGCTTTCCAGAACTGAAGGTCCCAAACTGGTTTCCATGCATTACTCTTCAGTTAGTCACCTAACGTACATAGTGTACTTGGTGCACTTGCCCCTCCCCACATTCTCCAAAAGATGCAGCAGAAATATTTGTCTAAGACCCTGCTAATGTGGTTTTTTACATTAGTACAAATGTGTATCATAAACTAACCAGTTTAAGGTACTGTAGGGTTTTTTGGGTTGGTTTGGTTTTTTTCAAAAATAATGTTCCGTGAAATTCATACACTAATAAATGCAGTGTTTCTAATCTTTGAAAAATGTATTAAAAGTGGAACAGTGAGAACTTCTTGCGCCATTGTTGGTCTATGTAGGTAAGACATCACGTTAATGTTTATACAATAACAACTTTCTCTTTCCTTCCTTTCTTTTGCTGCCTGAAGGCCTGAGCTACAATGTCTCAGTGGGATTTGGGAGTAGGTTCTGCTTAACGTCTATTTTTAGTAACTGATTTTAGCAGTACGTTAAATATGTGACTGCATGTAAATAAATGGAAATGTTATCTGAACATTTTTATATCCAGCAGATTAAGATGTTCAGTCAAGTAAGTTAGATGACCACAAGAGAAATAGAGGCTGCCCTAGAAGACGATTCCTTTAAATTGAGGGAAATAGTAAGAAAGGATGATCTTAAATAGTTGTAAAGAGGTTTTACACTAGATTGCGAGTTCTGTTGAACCCTAAGGTTTGTTGATTTGCTGCTTGCCTTTTAAATCGAGAGTGCACTTTTGTTTCCAAGTGCACTCTAGTCCCAAGGTGGTCAGAAAGAGCCTTGCAACACCTGGTGGGTCACCAATTTTCTTTTCAGAGCGTGGAAAGCTTCTGCTCCATAAAACAGCAGCGTGTAACAAATAGTGTGGGGAACTACCACAGTGGACTCTGCAGCTGAGTGTTGGCTTGGGTGAGGGGCAGAACATGGAGAGTATCTCATCTAGCCAGTCTTAAATCCAGAGAGAAAAAATTATTATTTGGTTATAAGTTGAACTTTTTGTCACTGGAAAAAATATGCAGATGAAAGCTGATGTTCAGTCTAGCACTGAAAGAAACGCACATTATAAATTGCAGGTTTTTAATATGAAGCTAATCTTCCTACTTAGGCATCATTGTCCATATAATATTTATAACATCCACTATCACTATATTAATATCTTCCAAGTGGTGTTAATAAATGATGTTAATAAACTTTATCCTATTGAAGAAAGAGCTTGACCGCTTCGGATTTTTTGTTAGGTGACATATTTGTCATCTGCTTTTTGAGCAATGCATGAATGAACTATGGGGAAGCTAAATCAAGAGGAAGTATTTATTTAATTTTTGAAATGGTGAAACTGGTAGCATAGTTCATTTTCTGCAGAAGTTCTGCCTACCACTTTAGCTTCCCCTGCTTGGAAAATGGGCTTTAATTAAATGAATCTCTTGCGAGGTTCGTTGCTGAAAAGAAAGCAAGCTGGGGCATAGATTTAACTCTGTTTCTTTTTATGAGCCTACTTGCCTTGAAAAGGAAGCAGAGAATGTGATGTTCACAGAAGCATTTAATTCTTCGCTTTGTCTTAGGTACATTGTGCTTGAAATATGCACGCATAATATGTGTTCAGTAATAGTCCATAGCAAACACCACCTTGCTCCTCTCACAATAGACATTCAGATAAGTAATTATGTATTTTTTAAAATTATCGTTTCCTCAAAATTACAGATTTCCACTGAAAAAAAAAAAAGCCTAAGAAAAGCGCCAACCATGACTCGGCTTTTTTCTGTCTGGGATGATAAGAAAGTTTCGGCGCTGCCTCTTGCTCTGCAGTGATCGGTGTGGAGCAGAGGCAAGGTAGAACTAGTGGGCTCAGCAGCTGCCATGGGTATAGCCAGTGACAGCGGTGTAGGGTGCAGCAGAGGTTATGAGAGGATACCCAGCCCTGGAGAAGAAAATTAATTTACTACTGCTGCAAACTTATTTGTTTGCTTATTTTGAGCTCTGTATACTTTTCACTGCAATCCTTGAAAAAATCATTAAATAGAGGAACACAAAGCTATGTAAGTTATGAAATTGAGCTTACACGGCAGCTAATTGAAATTCTCTGTGTGTAATCCGACTTCAGATCATGATTCACAGAATATAGTGCAGCAATACCCCCATGTCCCTCCTTCATGAATGGATGTGAATTGCTATTAATAAATAAATATGCATCGGACTTTTTGGGCCACATCTGTTGCTTAGGGGTGTGGATAATGAGCTTAGCTTTATTTTCTGTAACCAAGTTGGTTTTCAGAGAAAAATGTGAAAGTAAATGTGTTTACTGTGCAAACGCTGGCTGGAAGTCAAGAAGTTTCTTTTTTGAAGCTTGTCTTGCAATCTTCAGGGACTTTAGCTCGGCTTTTTTTTAATCTAAAAAAAAAGAAAAATAAAAAGACTCTGCTTTCTACTTTCCTGTTAAAGCCTCCCCCCAATTTATTTCTTTGCATCTTTTTGAATTTCACTTCCTCTGTTGGATTCTTTTATATCTTTTTGGATATGTGGCTACATTTGACTGTGTATGAATATCTATTGGATGTTTTCATACCACTAGTTCCCTGTATGATTTAGTTTTTCTTCCACCACAAAATTCCTTCACTGTTACAAGAAAGTACATTCATCTAGGGGCTTTTGCATTTGAAATAGCCATCAGATTTGTTTTGCCTTTTGTTTTTTTTTTCATTTTAATTAATTTTGCCTTACACTGGGGGGGTTCTCCACTTTGCTGTTAGTTAATATTATTTTTTTATTACATACTATGGTGAAGGCAGAATTCTGATGCATACTTGACAGGAGGATCAAAGCTTGACAAGACCCATGTTTCAAAAGCATTAATTCCATTCATATTGCTGCAGTATACACACCAAGATGTTAAGGATATAAAAACGTCATTAATACCTTCAGGATCAAGGTTTTTACAGCCAGTGCTTTCAAAAGTAGTTAGGGATTGGGGTAGTCCAGTTAGACTCCATGGGAACAGCTTGACTTTCATTCTTTCTTAGTAGGTACCAGGACTTTCTCAGAGCTGGATTTATTCTGGATACCTCCTGACCTGGTGCTCTTTTGAAAGTCTATGTCTTGGATGGTTGATTAGATTTAGGATGTTGCCTTAAGGTGAAATGTGCAAACAGATTTAGAGGGGAGAAGCGGTTGTTACATAGGTGTCCGTTCTTATGGAGATAAATAGAGCAGTAGCTTGCCACCTCCCCAGCCATTACTTATTGGTTGGCAGTTGTTCTGGAGGCCACGAAAACACCACGCTTAGCTGATCTTGCACATTTCCTGCCATTTCCCCTCTAGGTTTAAGGTAGTGTCAGTCACTAAAAACATATAAGCATCCTGAATAGTGGAGGACTTCCTAAAGGATCTGCAGGTGTTGCTTTCTGTATTGCTAAAATATGTAAAGACTAGGCATCTACAGCAGAGTCCTCAGCTGAAGAGTTTCTTGCACTATTTTGTCTGCAGAAGAGCTGGCAAATTGCCCTTTTCCATTTGGTTTAAAATGAAAAAGTTCAGAAATGTTTTTGGAATTTTCAGGTTAAAATCCCTCCTGTTCCCCAGCAACGTACACTTGTTTGCTCCCTCAGTTCTTAGTTATGCTGAGCTTTCAATATTTTTTTTAAGGGAGCACTGTAGGATAATATGTGTGTGAGTCTGTAGTGTAAAACTACATGTTCGATATGAGCAGGTTCATCATTGAGGCAGAGTAATGGAGAGTAAAGAGTCAGGGCTGAACACTTGCTGGTAATAGCATGCAAATGATCCATTACTCTTTGCAAAACTTTTGGTATGATCTGATTATTTATATTCTGAATTGAATGCTAATTGCTAATATAATTTGCTGCATACAGCACCTGGTCTACTTTCAAAATCTGTTCTTTACTCAATACTGTGGGTAAAAACATATGCCTTTGCTGTATTTGACTTGCACATTCCAGCTCCAGTACAGAGTATTTTTTTCCATGCTGTTGAAGGATCATTTGAGATGCTTTTCCTGTTCTGTACTTTTCAATAAATTTGCAAAAAAATTTTAGGGTATGTTTGAATATCATTAGTGCACAATGGATATAGGTGGTGAATTAATGTTCTAACACTTTGATTGTTTCAGGTGGAAAGGATACCATAACATTCAGTGATCCAGCTTTGCCTGTTATACAGCGGTCCAGGTCACCGTTGTTAGCGTTTGCTGATAAGCCACAGAAAACTGAAGTACTACAAGGTGAGTACCTGGAACATAAGGAACGTGATGAGAGCTGAGCACTTGTTTCTTTCCAAATAAAACGTAGTAAATTTTCATGCTGGGGTAACCAAAGGCAAAGTTTCAGTGATCACAGAGATTGAATACATCATCCACAAGTAAAATGGATAGATGGTCCCAGTACAAATAGCAAAGAAATGACTGGAAAATGACTGTTATATAGATTGCACAAGGCTAGGGATCAGGTCTTACACCTCAAAGAATTTTCCTGCCAGATAACTTGATAGTGTGAGAAGTTATTCATGCCATCTATGTTACAGTTAACTGCCTTGTGCTCTTTTTCCCTCAGTTAAAATACACAGTAGGTAAGCAGTCTGTGGAACTGGCTTAGCACTTTCCTGCATTATAGCTGATATCTAGATGAAAGGCTTCCTGATTGCGCCCGGTAAATTGAAATGCCCAATTTGTTTTCCCAGAGAAATTGACTGCTTTTTTACAGTCTTGCATGTGTTTTGTTAAAAATCCTTTCCCAATAGCAAGCTTCAACATCTCCCTAAAGTCAAGCTTAACTTTGTTTGACAATAGCAGAAGATAGTGTTTTGCTGATAACCTTGGGTTTTTTACCTTATTTTTTCATAATGGATGGGAGATGGATTGTTGTGCTTGCCTATCAGCATTTGGATAAGCTCTTTAATGGGCATAACATTTTGGTATGCCCAGATCTTACTCCGCTAACCATGAAGCATCATAAACAATTTATTTGTTCGTCCTGAAACTACATTGTGGCTTAATTTTGACTTTATTATCCATGTCATCAACTGATAAAACCTGACAGCCAGACTGATTTTTTTTTTATATAATCTTGATCAGCTGATATTTTTGCTAAAAATAAGAAGTGAAACTATAGTGAATAGTTCTCTGGTGAGTAATAATAACTCATAAATATTCATTTTTTGCCTGCTTAATCATTGATTTTTAATTAAATCTGCAGTTACTGAAAGTATTTACTTGGTGGCATTATGCTCTTCCCTTTACGTATTTGTTCTAGGTGAGGTTGGTATTACAGTTTTGATTAAAGCTGCCTGTCAAATCTCATCAGACCCTGTTTCTGTTGCTTTGTAATACTGCCAAACTTTAGCTCTGGGCTGAAGCTTTCCATGCTGTGTTTTTTACTTCAGCTGATTTTTTTTAATGTCAGCCAAATCACTTTTTTGTGTTAGATTCCGATGACCACATGTTTTTTGTGGTTTTTTTTTTTTCCTTCTGCTTTGTTTTTTTTAAACATGCAGGCATTTACCGTATCTATAATTGAAAGGAATTTGAAATCTGGGGAAAAGGTTCCCATCCTGAGAAAACAGGCTGGAGTTTCTACCCCATTCTAAACCATTCATTTTGTAATCTCATCTGCTGAAAACAATGAAAAACAAACCAGTGATTCTGTTGAGCTTGCTTCGTGCCACCAAGGCTGGTAAAACTCTGCATGCACCGTTCCTTCAAGATAATGTAAACCTAGAGGGAACAAAACCTGGAGCAGAGAGGATAGGAAGACTGAGATCAGGACTCTCAAGTGATGGGAAGACTGGTGTAGATGGGGATTGACAGAGTTGAAGGAAGTCTGTGTGAGGGGGGACCTGCATCTGGCTGGGCAGAGGTCAGAGCACAGGAGCGAGGAATGAAAATGCTGACAGTGAAAGCAAGGTATGATAAAAAAGCTTGAAAGGTGGATGAGAAATGGGCAGAGGGAGTGTAGGGACTGGATAAACAAAGGGATATAGGGCAGGAGCAAAGAGCTAGGCAGGGGAAGAGAAGAGTAGAAGAAAACAGCCTTGGAGAGGAGAAGGCAGACAAGGATTAGGCCTGTGGCAGTCATGGGAAGAATCAGCTCTCAGTAGGTCATCACCCTCTTTCCTTCTACCCATCCCATAACTGTAACAGAGCCAAGACCAATCAAAAAATCCTGTTGTTAAACTGGAGTAGGCTGAGAAACTACTGTTGTGCCTGCACAGACAGCTTGGTTTTTCCCTTTGCATGCAGCCCAGTATACCTGATAACCTGCAGTGAGAATTCCGACAAAACTCACCTCTGTGATAGTCTAAATGAACTGGGCCAACTTTTCAGTGACATAGATCAGCACCTATATACTCCCAGCTGTGCGGGAGACATCAGAGCTTCTGGCAGTAGGTGGAGCAACAATAGCTTCTTCTGCTGCTCCAGATCCTTTTTCTGGATGATTGGGGCTGCCATCTTCCCCTTGGAGTCTTGGAAAGGAAGCAGTGTGTTTTCAGCTGTAGGGCATGTCCCTGTGCCTGGAGTCACATAGCTCCTCTGCAGTCAGCAGCTATATGGGAGTGATACGCTGCGTCACCTTTGGTGCCACTCTGCATAGGGAATGACTGGCTGCTGTTGAGGTCTACGAGCTTGGTGCATATTGCAATTTTTCACCTACAGTGTACCTCCAAAATCTGGGGGAGCTTGGCAGTTGGGAAGAACAGGAATGTGTTCATATGCCTTCGTTTACCAAGCAAGTATGCGCTTGGTTTAAAAGCATTCTGGGAATAAAAACAAACCCACTTTTATTTTCCTATTAATTGAATGATCAGTTGAGTGAAAACAGTTGCTAAGCAGAATAGCAATGAAATTCTTACCTATCTTTAAATACTAGGCCTGGTGTCACGTCAGTCATCTATGGTCCTTTAAATAGTACCTTTGATACTTGGTGCCTGCTTGGCCCAGGAAATGTTTTCAGCTTTTGCACTAACATACAAACTTTATCAGAACTTCTTGTAATACCTCAAATGTTGCTCTAGCTAGGTCTACAATTAATCAGAGGGCTTTTTCAGGCTCTTTTAATCTAATCTATCTGCTTACCCTGGTCTCATCACAGCTGTTTTAGTCTGTACTTGTTATCATTGTTTCAGTTAGGCTGGATGGTAGAAGTCTGTAGGATATACTCTGCAGTTCCTGTGTGAAAATGCATAATGACATAGTACAATCGTATGAATTAAAGACTGTCTTGTGCCACCAAATCTCACTTCATCCAATGCACAGGATGGATAGTGTCATGGGATAGATTGTACTTGAGCATCACAGCAGCTAATGAACAGCTATTCAGGTTTCTTTCCTCTTCATTGGTGAATGCATTGTTCCGGCTGTATTGCCTGTGCGCTATTTCAAGCGTTCCCTGAAGACAAAAGTACTGTTTTTCTATGAACTTTTCTCTGGCGGTAGAGTGCTTTGAAGCAGTTATCTTCAGAAAATTGCAGCAAGGTGGTCTTATCCCACTGTAGAGGGAGGAAACTGAGGCACGCAGAGAATAAGGTAGAGTCCCTGCTAATTTTGAGTGCTGGTTTGAGGTACATAAGTTTTGGCTCTTTTTGGAGCGCTTTGAGTATGTGTGTTCAGATACACAACAAGAGCAAAGCAGTACTGCAAATCAAGCTCCTAGGTTTCCAGCTGAGTGCTCAGATAATGAGGATTAGAAGCAGTGGGTGATCACCTCTTGGAAGTTAATTTACTCCTGCCTTTTCCACAGACTTAAATTCCATCTCTTCAGAGTAGCATTCCTAGCTTCCTTAATGGAAGTAAGAGTGACTGTTCCCTTCATGCCAACCCCTGTCTCACTGACTCGGCAGCCCCCACGCTATAGATGAGGCAGGCCCGATGGAGGCAGGAGGCTAGTCTGTTGTGTGGCCCTGGTCCCTCCCTACAGCCAGGCTGCCCCATGCATTGCATGAGGCAGGATTCCTGCCGGAGAAATAGAGTAAATGCTCATATACTAAAAGGTAATGCATCTGCATGACAAGAGTCGTTTTAAGCTGTCAATGCAGCCGTACTTCTGGCATTTCCTAATTTTTCTCACTTGACTTTGCAAGCTTATTTTCAATGAGGCTTTTTGTCCTTAACTGAGATGAGGACAAATTCTCTCACAAAGCTGTTTGTTTACACGTTGCTGTTTTCTCTATTCTGATGCTTTGTTCAGTGTTTGCCTTTTGGTATAATGGTATATTTAAAATTCTTCCACTGCTGCTTTGTTTTATGCTGTTATCCAAATGAGAATGATCTTTTATGTTAGGAGAACTGTTAGAATAACGAAACTTCATTATTGCTTGAAAGCCTGTGAAAAGCTCCAAATAAATGAAGCTTGTGTTAACCCCTGAAAGTGGCAGTGGTGTAGGAATCAATGTAAACTGTACCAAACATTTCTGTAGCTGAGTGCCTTGCTTAGAGTTGATATTCCTTTGAAAAGTTTTGCCTGACCCTGCTGTTCTGCAGTATGGTATCGACTATGACTCTTTTAGAGTTGTTGGTGGGAAAGACAGGCTCCAAAACAGGGCCAGGTCTAGCAGGAAACTTAGTGTTGATTGCTTATCTAAGAAATGGACCTGGGATGGGGTAGAAATTGGAAATTCCTTACTGAAGTAAACATCTCTGTGGTCTGGCACTGGTGGGGATCTTCAGGTCAGATATACCAAAAATACCTGTGACTGACCAGAGCATCTTGCTGTTTCATTTCTCTTTCAGCAGAACAGAAGGGAGAATGTGATGAAACGTGTGCTGTTGCAAGTGAGTCCGTGGCTCCAGAGGGAACAAACTTAAATAACAGAAACCAAAATAAACGTTTTTATCCTTCATTACCCCAGCTACCTTCCGAGGAAGAAGAAATAAACAAGCTCGGAAGTCAGATAATTAAACTGACAGAGCTGGCAGTTGCAGAACTCGGGGGGAAAAGAGCAGGCACTTCTGCAGGGGAGCAGAACCCGGTGCTTGGAGCAGAGCTTAATGATTCATCTGAAGGAGAGTTCCCACCTTCCAGCCTTGACCCATCTGACCCCACAGATCCCTCAAACTCAGAGAACGAACAAACAGCTGAAACTGAGGCCCTGAAAGACAATGACAAAACCTCAGAGAGTGATTGTGAAATCCCAAATGAAAGAGGCAATCAAAATAGCAGCACTGTGGATGTGGTGCACCCTGAGGACCCTGGAAGGCATGGAGGGCTCCGTGTTACAACTGCAGACACAAATAACAGCTTTGAGGAGCTCCCTG